CCCCTCCCCCCCTCGGCCAGCCTTTCCGCGCGTACGCCATTCTGGCGGGAGCGGGGCGCGGGAGAGTGCCGGCGGTGTCTGAGGGGGCGCGGGTGTCCCGCGCCGGCTTGCTGGGAAACGAGCTCATCGGTGCCCAGGTCTGCGAAGCCAGAAACTCTGCGGTCTATACTGGAATCGTTATGTGAGAATGATCCAGGCCTGAGAAACCGTGGTGATAGCTCACAGCCGGTGAGGGGGCGTGGGCTGTACCACCTCATCGGGCAGCCTGTAGGGGAAGACACATCAAGGGCAGCACGCGAACAGGGAGACAGGACTCACGTCAAGCTGACGGGGTGACTGATGTCAAATCACGAGTGATTAGGAGATGACCCTGCACGCTAGAGACCGCTGCTCCTGCTCAGTGCAGTACCTCGAAGGGCGGGAGGCCTGACAGCCCCGGCCGCAGCTGCCTGTCTCACCTGGGAGGCATGCAGTCGCACTGGGTGTGCAGCAGTGATAATCGTTACTCTGAATGGACTACAAGCGCTAATGAAAGATGAGCACAGAGCATGGTGATCAGTGGCACAGAGTCGTGTTGGGGGCCAGTAACTAGCAGTGTGCCCCAGGAGTCAATACTGGGTCCAGTTTTAACATCTTCATCAACGATTTGGATGAAAAGGCAGAGTGCACCTTCAGCAAGTTTGCTGACACCAGACCGGGAGGACGGATTGACACGTCCGAGGGTCGTGCTGCCACCTAGAGGTGTTGTCCAACAAGTGGAGTATCTTACCCGGTGTGCAGTACATCAATACGCAGTACACAGAGCAGAGGAATTCCACTTCTTTCACACTTGCGCAAAGTGGGGTGCTACGTGGTAATTCCACAAAGCTAGCACACCACACAAAAGGACTTCAGTGTATTTATACACTTCAGGCTACACGAATACACCTTTACTGTATCGACCACTGGTTAGTTTCTTACCACCTTGTCCCTCACTGGTTAACAACACGCCTCATCTCAATTTAGTGTCATTTTATTACTCTGCACCAACTCAAAAGGGGGGGGACACATCTCGTGGTCTTAAATTGAATCAGTGGTCATGATCTCCCCTGCCATCTTTACTTTTCCCTGTTACCATAGATTTTTGCTGACCTTATGCTTTTCTCTCAATTGCTCAGCTTTCTCAGTAGTATGTTTCCAACACTTACTAACTGTTCAGCTCACCTGTAAGGGCATAGTTGTTAGCAAGGCCTACACTGTTTATACAAACTAATCAGGCTTACACAGTAAACTATCTCTCCCAGTCCTCCTTAGAAGATTCATAGGCATTGTATCTAATCCTAACTTAAATAGTGTCACTATAACTGAGGCATTTTTTCAAACATGCAGTTTTACACAGATAACAGAGGGACCTGGACAGGCTGGAGAAATGGGAAAACGGGAACCTCACACAGTTCAGCAAGGGGAACTGCAAAGGCCTGCACCCGGGGAGGAACAACCGCAGGCACCAGTACACGCTGGGTGACACCCAACTGGAAAGCTGCTTTGCAGAAAAGGCCTTGGAGGTCCTGGTGGACACCAAGCTTAATATGAGCCAATAATGTGCTCTTATGGCAGACAGCCAATGGTGTCCTGGGCTGCATTAGAAGAAGTATTGCCAATAGGTCAGGGGAGGTGATCCTTCCCCTCTCCTCAGCACTGGTGAGGCCAGACCTGGATCGCTGGGTCTAGTTCTGAGCTCCCCAGTGCAAGACAGACATTGACATACTGGTAAGAGTCCAGCAAAGGGTGGCTAAGATAATGAATGGACTGGAGCATCTCTCACATGAGCTGAGAGCTGGGCAGCAAGTCAGCAATTCAGCAGCACCTCACAAACATAACTCAACAAGCTCCTCAGATAAAAATAAAAAGTTATGTAAACGAGGTGTGTCAAGTTATGAAGGAAGCTTTTGATGCAAAAGTTGTCCAGTGCTAAAGACAGATTTTTGGACACTAACACCATCACCACTTAACAGAGTAGGACAGTGAGAAGTATTACCACTTCTTAAAAACACCTTCCCCCCACCCCTCCCTTCTTCCCAGGCTCTGCTCCCATTTTCTCCACCTCCTTCTCCCTTGCAGCAGCACTGGGAGCAGGGAAGGGGGTGTGTGGTCAGTCCTGATGCTTCTTTCTCCTCAAGAGCAGGGGGAAACTCCTCATGTTCTTCTGCTCCAGCATGATTCCCCCTCTCATGGGAGACAGTCCTCCACTAACTTTCTCTGATGTGGGTGCCTCCCATGGCCCAGTTTCCCTATCTGCTCCAGCATGGGTCACTCCTGCGTGTTGCAATCATCCCGGTGCCGAACTACAACAGTAGGGGCTTCTTTTTCCCACAGAGTCCCGGGGTTCCTCTACAGGTGGATCTCTGCTCCTCCAGTGACCTCCATGGGTGGCATGGGGGCGGCCCTGCCATCTCACCAGGGGATACAGGGAGGGGTCTCTGCTCTGGCACATGTCCTTCCCCTTTCTCCTTCTTTCTTTCACTTCGATGTTCTCACAAGTCCCCAACCTCCATTTGCATTTCCCTTCTTAAATATATTATTGCAGAGGTGCGGCCATCATTGCTAATTAGCATCTGACTTGGAGCTGTGGGAGCTTCCAGAAGCTTCTCACAAGGGGTCACTGCTGTAGCCCCCCTCCCCCACTACCAAAAATGCTGCCACACGCACAACCCCAGCACAGTCTGGCACGTCGTAGCTTCCCAAGTATGTGCTCTCCCTGACCTCTGAAATTTAATGATGAAGCAATCAAAACTGAGAGCTTTTAAAACTGTAAAGCACTATGAAGAAAAGATTTAATTGCTGGTGAGAACAGGACTTATGTATGTCTGCAGTAAAATTTCAAGAATGTAAATACTGTTTTTGGTTAGTAGCAGGAATACTGGTCTCTGAAACCTGTGTGTAACTTGATGAGGTTATTCCATTTGCTGTAACTGCAGTGAAAGGGGAAGTGGCAGGGAATGAGCACTGCATTACAAGCATCTCAAGCAGAGGATTCCCTCACTGCATACTCAGTCAGCAGCAAGTCAGGTGTCCTTAGTCAGACTCTATTTTTACAGATAAGGGTGCTGGGTAATAAAAATAGCAAAAAAACCCCAAACAAAAACTAGCAACAAGAGCTCTGTATAAGTGATAAATAAATTCAAAGCAGTTGTAATACAGGTTGGTACTTCACCTGGGATAAATACAGATGCCCTAACTAGAAGTGGGAGCCCAAGAAAATGCAGATGAAGTGACACAGTTCCTCTGTTTTACCAGAACATCATGTACAGATGCCAGCTTACTCAAGGCTTAGCTTACATGTTCAGTTATCTCTAACCTGATGTTACACTACATAGTCTAAACATGCTAAAAATGTCTATATAATAATTGAACTAGTGAAGTCATTTGGAAGGTATCTTTTCGGGTAGATTGGTGGAACAGCTCCAGAGTGGACTGCAGATAAAACATGGAACAAAGAAAGGACATATAGGGTGAAATCTTGGCTGGTTCAATAGACATTGAAGGAAACAGGGTGAACTGAGAAGGATTTTCTCCAGTTTTTGTAAGCAAGAATTCCAAAAATGTCTTTCAAAATAAATTATAGGGACTGGGGAAAAAAATGCCAACAACAAACTGTTAAAAATTGAAACATACTTCATGAAACTTCCACTCTTAAGGTGGAAGTAATAGACAGGTGTGAATTAGGTCTGTCCAACAGAGAACTTCCAACAGCATAGAGAACAGAGAAGATAATGCTGTCCTTTGTTTAGTTTCATAAAACTGGTATTTACTTACTATGAAATTTCAACATGTAGAATTAGACATACCATTCTTGGTATATGCCACTTTTTTAGAAGACTGTATACATCATTTTTCCAAAAGAAGTGGTTCTTTTAAATTCATAGACTACCCCAGTTCTTTCTAAAGTCCTGTCTTCTACGTAAATGTTTTCTGGAGAGGCACCACCTCATCATGCCTATGCTACCTGTCAACAGCTGCATGACTTCTGATTAATCAGAAACATCACTTTTATTCATCTCAGTTGTAGAGACCTATAAACAATCTTGATAGCCTCGGTATCCTTAAAAAGGCATCTCAGTTGTAGAAACCTATAAACAATCTTGATAGCCTCTGTATCCTTAAAAAGGCATAAGTATCCCTAAGATAATCCCCTAAGATGGGGATGTTCATGCCTTTTAAAGGCATGTGGGATGTTCTACCACATTAGGCTTGTTTCAATCTGTGTAAGTGCTGCACCACAAGAGCAGCTGACAATCACAAAGTGGCCTTTAAAGAGTTGTCCTGGCTTGTATGCTGTTCAGAGCTAGAAGTCTAGAAGACTTTTGGATTTTATCACCTAGAACCAAATCTTCACTTACATGAATTCATTTAGAAAGTACAGCAGACAATATAAACATTATTTCACTGAGATACAGGGGAGACTGTTGGGCATCATATGCTCAAGACTATCCAAATTCCTATTTAGCTGGCAATAGAACTGGAAAAGTGGAAATAGAAAAACAGGGATTTCTACCCATCTCTCATTCCATCATATTTGCAAAGACTATGTCTCAAGTATAGACCTCGGTTTTACACCCAGTCATTCTCTGGCCCTCTTTTAGCCTTGCAGAACAGCTGACAGCTGTGTAAAGTCACAGCTGTATACAGTCAATTTGTAAGATCAGAAGGAACCATCAATCATCTACGTGTGACACAATAACACAGCATTTGCACTGAATTCATAGCTTTCACTTAAGCTAGGGGATTTCTATTTGCAAGAAGTCCAAATGACTTAGAAGTGTCAAATAATCCATCAAATGCTCAATTATAGTAAGAAATAAAAGATGCCAACTCCCTTTCATCACACAATGGAGTAATAAAAAATATTTTAAAATAGTTTTCTCACCATTCACATTATGGATTCGTTTTCACATCTCCCTTCCTGCTCTTCCACAGCTACGTCCACTCAAAACATGTGCCATCACAGGCCTTACCAATCTAGGTAAGATGCACAAGCAAATCTGAATTCTGTGTTACAGTGTATCCAAACTGCCTTTCC